CTTGACCGGCCGTGTATGTCACGCGGTACGCGGCTGCGAGTGCAGCCGCCTATCTTGGCCAAGATAGGCGGCTGCACGTGTGGCGCGAGTACCGCTATACGCGTCTGCACGTGTGGCCGCGTATCTTGGTTAAGATACGCGCCGGCACAGAATGACACGTATCAGGCCCCGCCGAGCTCGATGAACGCCAGCGGGTGAGGGCGGCTATTCTCCCCCGAGGCAGGCGAGATTACGCAGTCCCTCGTGTCGCGCGTGTAAGTCCCGGTTGCCGTGCGCGCCAGCGCGTGTGGCCGCGTACCTTAGCTAAGATACGCGCGCACGGGCGTGGGTGGGTAAAAACGGGTCACTTTGCGGGGTTTGCCGTGCCGGCCCCCTTGCGTTTCAAATTGAAGACTGCTCTTGGCACTTGGGGGGGGGGGGGGGAGGGGAGGGGTGGCACTCATCAGGAAGAGGGGGGCACTGTTAATCGGCCCCCCACGCACCTACCAATGTCGAGCCTGTCTGCTAGACAGTTGTTTCCTCTTAAATTCGGCAGCGCCTTGTCGATCGTGTGAATCGTGCTGTGCGACCGTCTTGTCTTGTGAAATTCTTCTTCTGGGAATGCACGTAAGCGTAGTCAAAATTCTTGTGTGTGCCTGTGTTAGTGCCAGTGCGCGCCAGTCCCGTGCCCAGTGTTGTGCGAGGGAGCTTTGTTGTAAAATTCTTCTTGTGATACATGAAGCCCCCTTCGGCGGGCGACACAGGAAACGTTTCATCAGGCTCCGATATTCGGGGCGCGAAAGACTTGCTTGACACCGACCTGCTTCCCAGCGTGTTTCGCCACGGGTGCGCGGGGCGTTGCAGCAGCCCGGACGCAGCAGTCTTGCGTATCCACCCTCCAGCCCCCCGGACTCGGCCAACTCCCAGTGGCCGTCGTTCCTCTCGCCTCTTTCCTCCAGCCATGCATCGGCGTGCGGGCGGGTGGCGGGTCCACGCCTTCGGGGCGCTGCTCGGTGCCCTGTGCCGAGCGCCGCCGCCGACGGTCGCCTACGTGCTAATGCCGGACAATGTCACCCTCTCCGCATCGCGTGCGGGCGGCGACCTCTCCAAGCTGGGGAGGTATGTGAGTCGGTGGAGCTTCCCGGCGGACAGCGCCTCTCTCGAGGGGCTGGGCGGTGGGATCGCGTGGGCGATGCAGCCCGACTTTTGCGACAACCTCATCCGCCGCTTCCCGGAGCAGACCTCCGTCTTCTACCTCGGCTGGCTGAGCTGGGTGTCGTGCGCGGACATCGTCGACGCGGTGCAGCGCGGCATGCAGACGTGGTCCGACAACTCAAAGGTGGTCTCCTTCACCGACCTCACCGGCACCGCCGCATGCTCCGCTCCTTCCGGCTCTGTGCTCGACGACCCCTGCCCGTGGGAGATGCTCATCAAGACGACCGACGGGAGCGAGCACGAGGAGCTCGCGGCGTACGTCAACGGACGCACGGACGGACGGTCGGACGGACGCACGGTCCGGGCCGACCGGGCACGAGCCACCCGCCGGGCACGTGCCGCCCCCAGCCGTCCTCACTCAGGCCATCGCATTGCGCTCTCCCGCGACCGACCGACCGCGCGCACCTCCCGGCTTTGGCGCCGATCATTTCTAGCGCAGGCCCTTTTCTGTATCACGTAGCCACACCTCCACGCCTTGGTGCGAGTGGCTGCCAGTTCGGCTCTTGGGAGGATCGAACCATTCCTCGCTCAAAAAGAAAAACAACTTGGCGCCTCATTTCGCTGGCCCGTGGGCCCCATTCAGACGGGGGACGGGGCACTAGCCTTGAGCACGGCATTCTCGTCCCCTGTGTACGCCCATGATCCCGCTCGGCTGAGCTCGTTGTCCGGTTCGTTCAGGTACGCCTCGCCGAACCACAAACGCGCCTTCCACTTTCTTTTAGAGAGAGCGCCTTCGTTAACACATGGATTTCTTTTTTACGGTGTGAAAAAGGTGAAGGTGAATCTCGGGTGGGATTTTTTCTGTGGATCGGCGCTTTGCAAGCACATATACACCGTCTCACTCACAGACGACTCAAGCCCGAGCTCCAAGACGACTGATGCAGCGGCTGCCGCCGCCGTCGCCGTTGCCACCGCCGTCGCCGCTGCCACCGCCGCCACCGACGTCACGATCGCCGCCCGCGTTCGCGTGCAAGGCGTGGTGCGCGCGGAACGACAAGCGCGCCGCCTTTCCTGCCCCTTGCCACCCACCCGCCCGCCCGCCTCCCCACCGCCGCCTCTTCCCCCGTAGGCCGTGGGAGAAGAAGTGCACGTGGCTCAAGTGCAGAGATTGCCCGCAATGCTTACTGATGCCGCCGCCGGCCCCGCCGCCGCCGGCCCCTCCGCCCGCCCCCCCCTCCGCCGCCCCCCCTTCCGCCTCCCCCCTCCCCGCCGCCCCCCTCTCCCCCGCCACTCTCCCCCCCGCCGCCCTCCTTTCCGCCGCCCCCCCCGCCGCCTCCCCCCCCCTCTCTACCTCCCCACCGCCGCCATCGCCGCCGTCGGCCCCACCCGCCCCACCCGCGCTCGCCCTATGGAGGAGGTGCTTCGGCGAGGGCGAGTGCGCCGAAGGGCTGGAGTGCTTCCGGTGCATTACTAGATCATTCGAATCGCGGAGATGGGTTAGCCTCACATTGTGATCAGCGGAATCATAGGAGCAACGAATGGTACTCCCAGTGCCTGACCGCGTGCCCCCTCTACGTGTCAAACGGCGCCGGCGGGACGCAACACTACACCGCCGGGTGGCAGTGCGAACTGCCTCCGCCGCCACCGATGCCCGTACCCCCAGAGCCGTCCCCGCCTCCATTTCCAGAGCCATCGCCACCTCCGCCACCGGAGCCGCGCCCTCCTCCAACACCGTCGCCTGCACCCCCGGAGCCGCCCCCCCCGCCGCTTCCGGAGCCGTCACCGCCGCCGCCTCCAGAGCCGTCGCCACCTGAGCCCTCGCCGCCGCCCCTTCCGGAGCCTTCACCGCCTCCACCTCCGCAGCCCTCGCCACCGCCGCCTCCACAGCCGTCGCCACCAGAGCCCTCGCCGCCGCCCCTTCCGGAGCCGTCGGGGGAGCCTCCGCCGCCCCCGCCCCCACCGCCTCCGTCGCCGCCTCCGCCTCCGTCGGCTGCCAGGCCCGCGCCTCCGCCGCCTTCATCTGCCGCACCGTCGCCGTCGCCGTCCGCCAAGCCCGTGCCTCCTCCTCCGTCGGCCTCGCCGTCGCCGTCCGCCAAGCCCGTGCCTCCTCCTCCGTCGGCCTCGCCGTCGCCGTCCGCCAAGCCCGTGCCTCCTCCTCCGTCGGCCTCGCCGTCGCCGTCCGCCAAGCCCGTGCCTCCTCCTCCGTCGGCCTCGCCGTCGCCGTCCGCCAAGCCCGTGCTCCTTCCGACCGTCCATCCGTCCGACCGTCCGTCCACTCCGCCGCCGCCGTCGCTGTCGCCCTCGCCGCCGCCGCCGGCCCCGCCGCCACCGGCCCCTCCGCCGCCTCCGCCTCCGTCTGCCTCCGGCGCCGGGGCGAGCAACACCTGCTGGCGGGTCCCTAGATTTCTGCTCCTCGTCCACCTCTTGCACGCTGCGGTCGTACACCTGCCTGCCGCGCGCGCGCACACACGCTGACCCGAATGACTCGCACTCTGTTCCGCACCCCCCTCTCGTACTCTCTCGTCGGCCCTTGAGCCCACAAACACGTGACACCGTCTCCGGAGCACACGTGATTCACGTGGCGAGACATTCAACGAGAGTGCACCGCACTCCTCACCATGACTCTTACGAGCCGACTCGTGGGGGGGGCAGCCCCTTCGTTCCTCCTCAGGCGGCCGATCCCCGAGTACGACGGCAAGGGGATGACCTACGAGATGGACCACGTCGCGCCCTTCCTGCGCTTCGCCACCTCCGCCACCCTCACCATGACCACCATGCCGGACATGGCTCTCGCGCCCGGCCCGAGTTATGACTACGTCGCCGAGGCGGACGCCGTGATAGCAAACATGGCCACGGTGGACACGGCCGGCGAGCTGGACGAGATCCGCTTCTTCGACGGCACGCTGCAGCCGCGAGATCTAGCCGAGACGTAGTCGAGGTTGGCCGAGATGAGCCGGGGTCCGGTTGTTCGACGGCAGAGGCTCAACGTCACCGCTCTATGGAGGGCGTCTCTTCCCACGAGGCGCGTGTGTCGCTGGCTGTGAACAGGCAAGCTGAACGTCGCGCTCGGCCTCATCGGCACGCTGCTGCTCGGGTACGGCCAGTCGATCGAGGAGATCATGCTTCACTCGTTTGGCGAGACGTCGGCGGTGCACGATGACAGCTCTGGTGTGAACGGCGTCTCTTCACACCTGCAGCTGTGAACAGGCGAGACGTCGGCGGTGCACGATGCCGGCGTGGCGGTCTGGAAGAACAAGCTTCTCAACAGCCGCATCCGGCCCACGACGGTCACCCACACAAGCTCTCCGCCCCGACGACAGCTTCACGACGCCACTCGCTGTCACCGTGTGTGTCCGTCAACGCGTAGGTCATCCACGAGCTCTACCCCGACGACAGCCTCCGGCTGAACGACAACATGACCGTGCGTGGCAAGCACTTCCAGACCATCGTCCGCACCATGTCGCACTCCGAGTGCGAGCCTGCGTTGCTGCAACTCCTGTTAGGAGGAGTGGTGCAGGTCCTGAGACTGACCTGAGAACAATAGGTATCCGAGCGGCTCCGCCGCCGTCTGCGCCGCCATCCGCGACTTCGTCGATGCCCTCTGGCCGCACCTCACCCTCACGATGCAGGGGGACGAAGTCAGCTACTCCGACGCCCCCTTCGTGATACTGCCAAACACCGCGATGGCCACCGTTCCGCTCACCGGCGCCGTCAACCCGGCGCCGGGCGGCCTCTCCGCGGCGGCCATCGCCGAGCGGTGCCGCGTGGCGCGCGAGCTGGGCGGGTCTGCTCGCGAGATCACCCGAGGCTGTCCGAGACTAGGTGCGGTGCCACGCGCGAGCTCGGCGGGATGCACTTCAGTCAGTCGGTGCCCGCGGGTCGGAAGCTGGCGGCCGGGATGGGGGCGGAGGCGGCGGCGACTCTCCTCTCTTTGCTGGGTCCGAGGGAGGGGAGCGTGCGGCAGGCGCTCGGCGGGTCTGCGCCTTGCGCCGCGGATTGCTGCGCGGCAGCGGTGGAGTGCAACGCCACGGCGCAGGCGATCTGCAAGGCGCGGTGCGCAGGCAGGTGGGACACGCCGTGGTTTGACGTGGTGCTAGCGCGGGTGGGGGCGCTGGGGGCGCCGAGCCGTGAAGCGGCTACTGAGGCTCCGTTCTTCCAAGCGGATCGCAACCACATCATGATCATCGGCGCCACACCGATCGAGCGCCTCGTCCCCGACTGCTGTGAACGGCGTCGCCTCACACGTGCTGCCGTGAACAGGCGCCATGGCGGGCCTTGTCCCCGCCATCACCGACGGCTACGCCTTCTCCTTCCAGACGCGCTTCACCAACCTGGTCGACCAGCTGGTCTGGAACGCGTTTGCTTCCAACTCGGAGCGCCTGCAGGCCCTCCTCTTCGGCGACGCCACGCACCGCGGCGTCGAGCCGCTGGTGAGGTCCGGACACACCTCCACCGACGCAAAGGTCGTGACCGCCATCCACGCGATCGCCGCCGCCCTCCCCTTCTTCCTGCCCGAGGCGGCCGGCGCCTTCTGCGCCGCCCCGGCCCCGTGCTTTCTGCTACGGCCGACCATCGGGCTTGAGCCCGGCCTGATTAGAAAGGGGCAACCCTTGGGCGGCTTCCCGGGGGGGCCCAGGGGGGATTTTGCCCCGGGGGGAAGAAAAGGGGCCTTTTTTCCCCCCAAGAAGGAGGAGGCTCTTTTCGGTGGGCAGGGGAGGGGGGGTTGCCAAACGGCGCTTTTTTTAAGGGCCCCCCCCCCCCCCCCCCCCCCCTTCCCAACACCACCCCACGCCCCAACACCAACACCCACGCCCCTCTGCCCCTCTGTCAGGACGCGCCGGGCCCGAGCGGGCTCGGGCAGGTCGTCGCGTTCCAGCTGCTGTGGCACCGGCTGCGCGACGGGCGGGCTCCTTGTAGTGTATATTTGTGCCTCACCTCATCTCACCTCACGCACACCACGGACGACGCAGCCGCAACATCTGCAGTCAAGCTCTGTCCCCCCACCGAGTTCAGGTGGAACTCAATGGGCCTCGACGGCGGGTGCGAGGGCGGGCCCGCGTACTGCTTGCCGTACGCAGAGGGACGCCCGCAGTACAACCCGCAGGTGGGGGGCTGTCTCGAGAGGAGTATAGACACCCACTTGTCATCGACTAAGTGATTCACTCGTTGCGACCCGCAGGTTGGGGACTGCCTCGAGGAGGAGCTACCGGCCTCGCGGTTATGAAAACCGGGCGGGAGTGTGTGCATTTCATATGAGGAGGCGTGTGCACGGGGGCGTGCCCCCGGAGCACCGCTCCCGTGCGCTGTCAGCCGTACGCAGAGGGACGCCCGCAGTACAACCCGCAGGTGGGGGGCTGTCTCGAGAGGAGTATAGACACCTACTTGTCATCGACTAAGTGATTCATTCGTTGCGACCCGCAGGTTGGGGACTGCCTCGAGGAGGAGCTACCGGCCTCGCGGTTATGAAAACCGGGCGGGAGTGTGCATTTCATATGAGGAGGCGTGTGCACGGGGGCGTGCCCCCGGAGCACCGCTCCCGTGCGCTGTCATATGAGAACGCGTGCACGGGGCATGCCCCCGGAGCACACTTCCGGTGTCGGGAGGGGGGCCGCGCACGGGAGCCGGGAGTGCGTTCCCGCACCGGGGCTGCGTTCCCATGAGCTGGCCACACCTTCCTGCGCCACTCAGCGGCCTTTCTTTGAAATGTGGGGCGGGATCCCCTTTTGCCCGACGCCCCCGTACACCCACCCCCAACCCACACGCGAAGTCACACACGCGTCCGCGCGTCTCCGAGCTCCGTCGCCACACCTGTTGCTCTCTGCCGTGCTCGCGCGGCGGCCCCGCCGGGCCCCGCGCCCTTGCCGCCCGGCCGGGGTTGGAGAGGCTCAGAAGCTGCGCAGCTTGATGCCGCGCTCCTCGCACACGGCCTCCAGCTCAGGCTGCTTCTTGTTGTCCACGCCGAGCACCTGCAAGCGAGGAGAGGTGCGATGAGCATTGGCGGGGGAGGGCGTGAGGCGAAGGGGGCGTCTCGCGCCTTCAAGCTCGGGGCGGCCCCCTCCTTGAGGGCGGCGGCCAGCGCCTTGCAGCCCTCGTCGCCAATCTGGTTCTGGTAGAGAAAGAGCCACTCGAGCCGCGGCGCTGCCCCCTCCTTGCCGAGGGCGGCGGCCAGCGCCTTGCAGCCCTCGTCGCCAATCTCGCTGCTGGTGAGATAGAGGTTCTCGAGCCGCGGCGCTGCCCCGCTCGCGAGGACCTCCGCCAGCTGCGCCGCCTCCGCGCCGCCCCAGCCGAGGCTGTCGTAGTTGAGCTCGGTCGCCTTGCCAAACTGCTCCTCGAAGGCGGCCTCGTACAGCCGCTTCACGAGCGGCTTGTCATCCTTGCCGTTGGTGAAGCTCTTCGTCTCCAGCTCCGCCGCGAACACAGACGGCAGCAGCGGAGGGCGCCGGCCGCCGCCCTTGGTGCAGTCCTCGATGAGGCTGTTGCAGTCGTACTCCTCGCCGTCGCGCATCTTGCCGAGGTCGAGCGAGAGGGCGCTGGCCTTGGTCAGGCTCGCCCAAGCGTTCTCAGTGGCGCACCAGCCGCGGTCAAAGTACTTGGCCACGTTGGTGCCCTCGGCCTGGTCCTCCGCCTCGTAGCCGTCCGGGAAGGACGTCAGCCGCAGCACGAAAGTCTGCGGGTGGGAGTAGAGCGTGCCGAGGCAGCCTAGCCCCTGCTTGAAGAGCGCGTTCTGCTCCTCGGTGCGCAGGACGCCGTTGGCTGGGTCGGGGTGCTGGTGGAGCGAGCCGAAGTCCCAAAAGACGCCGAGCCGCTTGATGCCGTAGGGATTGCTGAGCAGGGCCCTGAGCGCCCTTGCGACGCGGGCGAGGTTGGCTCCGCGCGGGTCGGGGTGGTCCTTGGTCAGCCACGGGTAGGAGAGCGCGGCGACTGGAAGCCAATCCACATACCCGTTGGTCGTCTCGACGAGGTCGGCGAGGGAGAGGAAGGCCTCTTTGGGCAGCGCCTGGCGGTGAGAGAGGACGCCGCCCGCCTCGGCGTGGCTGATGATCCAGCGCGCGTCGAGGAGGGCGATGGCGCCGCTCGCGAGGACCGGCTCCAGGTCGCCGCCGCCGAGCTGGCGCCACAGTTCCAGCTTCCTCTCGACGTTTGCCGATGAACGTACGAAACCATCCCAGCCAATGCCGAGATCGGTGGCGGAGGGGAGGACCTTGCTCGTGCCGCAGCCCATTGAGGTGCAAAGCCGCGCGGCCGTTTCCTATTCTCGACGTTTGCCGATGAACGTACGAAAGACGCCAAAAGAATTCAACAAAACAGAACTCTCTCTCACCGACACAGGTGTCCGGAGCCAACGTGCTCCGTGAGCTTGCCGACGGTCATTCATAGTCTGAAGTTGGTCCCTAGCCGCCGAACGTGGGATCCGATGTTAGCTCGGTGGCTCGGTAGCAGCGTGGTGGCGCCGGCTCGCACGGCCGTACCTCGGCCATGCCTCGCGTGTGCTGGGGCGCTGAGCTCTCGGGGACGCGGTCGCGCTGCGCGGAAGCGGACGCCTCGACGCCCCACGATGCGTCTCATAGCGGGGCATCTTGCGAGCCAGGCAACAGCGCCGCACGCGGACGCTGCATACCCCCCTCCTCGCCTCAGCCGCCTATCTTTTTCTGTCGTAGATGTGCAGCCGCTGCCGAGTTGAGCTCGCCATCCCGTACGACCGCGTCCGAACGCTGGACAAAGACACGGCCAACAAGCTGCGCATGACCAAAACGAGCGGCGTATGGAGCGTCTGCGAGGGCGCGTTCGGCAAGTGCCCTTTTCGCCTAGCCAACAACACCAAGCGCTCCAACATGAAGGACTGCATCGGCCCGCCGATGGCGATCCTCGCTCCTGCAAGCTCTGGAACTGCCGCCGCTGGCGCTGCCTCAGTTGCCGCCGCTGCCGCCGCTGCCTCAGCTGCCGCCGCTGCCGCCGCTGCGGAGGCGGGAGCGGTGGCGGCAGCGGCGGCCCCGTTGGCGTTGGTGGGGCCGACGGGTTCAGGGGTGGGCTCGGCATTTGCGGCGGAGAGCATGGGGGCAGTTTTCGCGCCAAGAGAGGTGGCCGAGAGGGTGAGGCTCGGGCCAGCTGTGCTCAGACCTGCAAGTAGGCGCCGCGCTATGTCTCTCGCTTCGTCTGCCGCTACAATGGGTGCGGCAAGGACTACGTGTCGATGGACGGCGTGCGTGCCCACTGCAGGTACAGCGGCGTGGGCCCAGCACTCCCCCCTCCCCTCCAACCCGCCTCCCTCCACCTCACGCGCAGGAAGGATCACCCGGCCTGGCTGAACAGCCTTCCTGCCCGCAAGCCGTCCCTCTTCTGCGAGCAGAAGCAGGTCGAGATCGAGATTGCGACCTCCACCGCCGCCGACTCGATGGCGCCGGTCCCAGACGAGTACTTGCACGAGGGCGAGGGCGGCGCACTCTACGTCAAGTTCAAGGTCTCCAACCGCACCCTCGTGCCCCTCGCGCGGTGGGAGGGCGTGGCACGGCTCGCCCGGCCAGGGGGGCAGCCAGGGGGGCAGCCAGGGGGGCAGCCAGGGGGGCAGCCAGGGGGGCAGCCAGGGGGGCAGCCAGGGGGGCAGCCGCCGTCGCTTCCGGCGCAGCAACCACCGCCTCAGTCAGCGGAGCGTCCTCAGCCACAGCAGCCCCCTGAGACTGGTGGTCCGAGCCAGCAGCCGCTTCAAACGGCGCAAGCGCAAGCGCAGCCGCCGCGGGCGCGATGGTCAATGTCCACATCAGCCGGTTACATAAAGACGGCGGGAGACTGGAACAACGCATCATGGAACACTTCAAGGAGAAGAAAGAACAGACCTGGCAGGCTCGCGGTCTCACCAACGTGCGGAGAAGCAAAGACAGAGGCAAGCCAGGTTACACATACGTGATCGTTCGAGTTCGTTGAGTCGGGTAGCCAGACGCCGCGCCGTCCTCCTCGCTTTCGACAACACACATCACGCGACGTCGCATTGCCCACGCACTCGCGTCTGGCTAACGTACCTCTATCTCGCCAAACGCGAGCGTTTTTCTAGTGCCCGGGAGAATGATAGTGACGTAGCGGTGCCTGCCGTGCGGTCGCAAGGGAAAGGAGAGGGGGGGGGGGGGGGGGTAAGATTTTGCTGCCTGGCCGCGGCGACTAAAAGGCGGCGGCGGCGGCACACGCACTTGGACTTGGCGGAATCGCACGGCGTCGTGACTGGCCCCTTCTTGATTTTTGACCAGGCGAACGGTCCGCCGCACTTGACCGCCTTTTCTCCAGCCCTTTTGCCAACCCAGACCTCGAAGCCGTCGAGATACTTCTTCGCCTTCGACGGCTTGTTGTTGGTGTCCGGGGTGACGGTCACAGAGCGGACGGGCTGCTGATTTTCTAGGGTGACCTATAACGTGCGCGGGAGGAGCCAACTGACGTGCTAGCGAAGGGGAGAGGGCGCGAGGAACGCCGGGGTGCCTTGGCGGAGAACCACGGGTTCTTCTTGTTCTTCTTGCTCTTGCCAAAGGTCTTGCTTTTGCCGTCGGTCACCTTGGCCAAGAACTGCGAGCACGAGGCGAAGTGTGATAAACAGGCACAACTGAGCTAGCATCTGGCTACGTACGCGCCTTCTTGGCGAAGGTTGTAGAGTGGCCCGTCGACATCCGCGGCTTACTCAGCGCAAGTGGCGCAGTATACTCTGCAAGAACCAGGCTGCGCGAGATGAAGTAGTGAGACTCATCGTATATGTTCGAGCCACCGAAGCTGCAGACCTTGTAGGCGGAACGGGTCGGGTCGAAGGAATCCGGCGGCTCGAGCCGCACCGCCACCCGGCCATTGGCTACTGTGCCTCTAGTCCCCAATGGCGATGCAATATCAACTTCGGAAGCAAATACAACGTCCAGTGCGCCCGCGCAATCCATCTCCGTTTCGGTCTGGAAGAGGACAGTCTTGTCAGGGACGTAGAGAAATATCATGGCCGAGGCGGCGACGGGAGCGGTGCAGAGGTGGATACAGCTCAATGATGAAGCAACGGCGCGCATAATGAAGAGAGAGGAACACATCGAGTGGCTGAGGAAGCTCTTCACTGGGTGGAAAGAGGCTCGGCCGGCCTTGAGGGAGTCGCGGAGGAGGAGGGATAACGGAGGCAACGTGCAGACAGGCCAACAGCCAGTGGGACGAACGAGGGCCGCGACGGCGGCTCAAGCGGGAGGGAGCGGAGACGGTGGGCAGAGAGCGAAGTGGGTGAGACTGATGATGCTCCTTCGACTTCGGGAGCGGTTCCGCTGCTGGGCGAGCTTCAGGATGGTGCTCACGCGAAAAGGAATCGACGCGATGTACAAAGCATACAAGAAGAGGAGAAAGAAGAGGAGAGGCGCCAGTGATGACGAAACAGAAGCTAGTGCAGACGAGGGCAGGGCAGACCCGGGGACGGCGGAGGCGGACCAGACGGCATCGACCGCCGAGGGAACGTTGGGAAGAGGCACGAGGAGGGCGGCGACCTCAACCGACTATGGAGGACCCGTCACCAGACGACGCAGGGCGGACGACGGTGAGGCGGAGCAGTCGCGCAGGGCGAGACGAGGGAGGGAGCAGGACGTTGCGGAGATCAGCAGGAGGATGTACGAAGAGATTAGGAGCAGCAGGGACCCGAGGGACCATGTGGAAGACGGCTAGTGCTAGTCCCCCATCGGGAGGACGACCCCGGCTAGCCGCCGACCACACCCACAAAGAACCCTGCACAAAGACCGCAGGGCGGGGACCTGTTCCTTTTTACCCATCTCCTAGTAGAGGTGTCCGTTTTATTTATTTATTTATTTCCACGCCCCCCTGGAACCAAAATCCCAATCTCGCAGTCTGACTCGAAGTCCGGCCACCACCACCACCAACGTCGGCTACAGCCGGCGCCGCGCCCGACCTTTCCCTCCTCGCGCTGCGCGACGGCCCCGACGCCTTCGTCGACGAGGACTTCTGCGGCGCCCGGGCGCTCTACCTCGATCCCGCCAGCCCTCCTCCGGGCCAGCCTCCGCCAGAGACGGTGCGCTGGCTGCGGCCCGCGGAGGTGTGCGCCGAGGCAGGGTGGCCGGCACCGGCGCTCTTTGTCGACTCGTCCAGCTCGTCGGATGTTGTGCAGGGCCGTCTTGGCGACTGCTGGTTCCTCTCCGCGCTCGCCGTGGTCGCACTGCAGCCGCGGCTTCTCGCGCGCCTCTTTCGCCGCTGGGACGATCCGCCGGCGTCGGCTGGCCGGTGCACGCTCGTCTTCCACCACGACGGCGCGTGGCGGCCGGTGACGATCGACGACCGGCTCCCGTGCGACGCGGACGGCCAGCTGCTCTACGCTCGCTCTGCGACGCCGCACGAGATGTGGGTGCCGCTCGTCGAGAAGGCGTTCGCGAAGCTGCATGGCGGGTACGAGGCGCTCGTGTCCGGGTTCGCGGACGCGGCGATGCGGCAGCTCACGGGCGGCGCGCCGCAGCGGAGGCTCGTCACCCCGGGCGCGCAGACCCACTCCGCCCCTCGCTCTTATCTCCCCATATCTCCCCATATCTCTCCAAATCTCCCCAAATCTCCCCAAATCTCCCCAAATCTCCCCGCAGGCGACGGCGAGGACGCGTCCGAGTCGCTCTGGGCCGAGCTGCGGCGCTGGTGCGGCGAGGGATCACCCGTAGGGTGCGCGCACTCGCTCGCCGCGGCACGGCGGCTGGCGGCTGGCGGCGGCGGGAGCGGCGGGGGCGGCGGGAGCAGCGGAGGCGGCGGGAGCGGCGCCGCCGGCGGCGGCGCTCCCTCGCCGCCCCCGCCGCCGGGAGAGGGAGGCGTGGCGGCAGAGGTTGGGGTGGGGGAGGAGGAGGAGGGGGAGGAGGTGATGACGGCGTGCGGCCTGCTGCGCGGGCACGCCTACGGTCTGGAGGAGGCGCGGGAGGTGGCGGGCAGGCGGCTGCTGCGGCTCCGCAACCCGTGGGGCCGCGGGGAGTGGACGGGCGCGTGGGCCAACCTCTCCCCCTCTCTCCCCCTCTCTCCCCCTCTCTCCCCCTCTCTCCCATCTCTTCCCATCGCTCCCCATCTCTCCCCATCTCTCCCCACTTCTCCCCACCTCTCCCCATCTCTCCCCATCTCTCCCCACCTCTCCCCATCTCTCCCCATCTCTCCCCACCTCTCCCCACCCCTCCCCACCCCTCCCCACTTCTCCCCATGTCTCACTGCACCGACGAGCGCTTCATCGAGACGCGGCCTGCTCTCCCCATCTCTCCCCATCTCTCCCATCTCTCCCCATAACCCCCCATAACCCCACCTCGGTAGGCGCGTGGGCTGACGGGTCGGGGGAGTGGACCGAGGAGCTGCTCGCCGCGCTGCAGTACGAGTTTGCCGACGACGGCGCCCTCTCGGCCGTGGCGAGGTCGCTGCTGCGAGGCTGGAGGGCGGCGGCGCGGAGGGCGGTTCGGAGCACCCGGCCGTAGGCGTCTTTTGGATCGAGCTGCGCGACTTTGCGGCCCACTTCAACACGCTGTACGTTGCGCGGCTGCTGGGCGGCGCCGGCTGGGAGAGAGAGGCGGCGGCGGGCGAGTGGCGTGGCGAGGGGGCGGCGGGCTGCCCCGGCCGGGGAGGGTCGTGGAGGTGCGGCCCCGCGGTGCTGCTGCGCCTCTCCGTCCCCGCGTCCCTCTTCTGCGTCCTCGGCCAGCCGCGGTCCCGCCGCCGCGGGGGGACGACCCCCTCCGTGGGCTTTGCACTCGTCCCCGCCCCCTAGAGGCAGGAACACGTATTCGCGTCTCCCAACCAGCACTCGAGAGGACGCGTACTCCGCCGTACTCGGTCGCACTCCGCGGTCTTCACTGTACTCGCCTCCGTTGTACTCACGCGGTGCTCTGAGTACGCTGCACAAGACCGCCTTCCCGCCCCGAGGCTGGCGTCTTTCACAACGCAGGTCCCCGCGTCGAGCCTCGGCTCGGGCGCGTCTTCCCCCTTTTTGAGGACCTCCGTTTGCTCTGCACGAGGGCGTATCGCCCCTACGCTTTGGCGCCCACACGCCTCCATACGTGTAAGCAAGCCGCTCCAGCAGTTCCAAACGGGCAGACGCCTCTCTGAGCGTAGGCGACTCTAGGCAGTCGGCCTCGCGGCGTGCACCCGTCGGTGAGCGGGCTTCCCCTGCGGCACGAGGAGTGCGTCTCGAGCGGCGCGGAGGCGGCGCTGGCGGCGGGAGACTACGCCCTCCTCCCCTTCACCTTCGCCGCCGGCTGCGAAGGCGGCTCAAGCCTCGCGGCTTGGAGTGGCCGGACCGGCGGCCAAGAAAGGGGTGAGCTGTGGTTCCCATCGGATCAGGCGCGTGGAGCCTCGAGGTGTGGTGCGACACGCCTCGCTCCGCCGCGCTGTCCTCCTGGCCGTCGGTGACTGCGCTCGTCGCAGGGATGGCGCGGGGTGGCGCGGGCGGCGCGTCGGCCGGTGCCGCCGCACACCGGACGTTCTTTCCCGACGGCACGACGCGCGCAGCCGCCGCAGGTCGATTCGACGAGGACGAGGAGGAGGACGAGGCGGCGGCGGCGGACATGTGGGCGGAGGTGGATGCCGAGGTGGAGGAGGCGGGCGGGGCCGCCCGGATCGGCGGCTCAGCCGGCGGCGGCTCGAAGAACCTTCTCCTCGGCGGCGGCTCGCGCGAGGAGCGGAGGGACGAGCGTGTGGCACGCGCCCTCGCCGCCTCGTACCTCCGGCGGCAGCACGACGAGATGAGCGAGGCGTGGCGGCGCTCGCTCGCCCACGCCGCGGCGACCGGGTCCGACCCGCGCACGCTCTGCTCCCTCGACGACCCTCTCACGCAGCTCGCGCTCGGGCGGCAGGCAGCCCTCGCGCGCGGGGCTGCGCGCGCCGACGGGCCTCGCAGCGGCGGCGGCAGCCCGCAAAGCCCCGCCAGGAGCCCGCGTTCGGGCGCCCGCGCGGAGCGGAGAGGACAGCCACAGCGGAGACCGGTCGCTCGTGACAAGTTCCCAGGTTAAAGAGAAAAAGAGAGTCTGTTTCGTCTGACGAACGCGGAACGGTGTAGTGAGGCTTCGAAAGTCCCGTGCCCAGACCCCAGTGTCGTGCGAGGGAGTTCTTGTGGGCGCCGAGCCGCCCCTCGCGATATTCTACCTTCCGACTCACGTGTCAGCGGTCAAGGACATATGCGCGAAGTATTCTCGGGCGCCGCCGCCTTTGACAAGGACCTCTCGTCGTGGAACGTGTCAGCGGTTGACTTCATGTACAAGATGTTCTACGACGCCTCCTCCCTCAGCGAGTGCAACAAAGCGCTCATCCACGCCAGCTTCGAGGCACAGAACCCAAGCGGATGGCCCTACTCGTCCGAATGGGACTCGCTTGCGTGTGCGCCGCCTCCCACGCCTCCGCCACCCTCGCTGCCGCCGCTGCCACCACCACCGGTTCCGCCGCCGCCCTCGCCTCCGCCGCCCTCGCCGCCGCCACCATTGCCACCACCTCCTCTGCCACCCTCGCCGCCATCTCCACAGCCGCCCTCGCCTCCCCGTCCTCCGCCGCCCTCGCCGCCACCGCCCTCGCCGCCACCGCCACCGCCGCCACCGCCCTCGCCGCCACCGCCCTCGCCGCCACCGCCCTCGCCGCCACTGCCCTCGCCGCCACCGCCCTCGACTCCACCGCCATTGTCGCCCCCCCCGCCGCCTTCACCACCACCGCCTCTCCCGAGCCCACCGCCAACGAGTCTGCGCTCGCCCTTGCCATCGCCGCCGCCACCCTCGCCGGTACCCTCGCCGCCGCCACCGACGTCGCTCCCACCCCGGAAACCGCCGTCGCCCTTTTCTCCACCGCCGCCACCATCACCTGTGCCATCGCCGCCACCCTCGCCGCCACCTCCACCGCCCTTCCCGCCGTCGCCACCGCCCCCGTCCCCATCTCCTCCCCCACAAAGCGTTCCAATCGTCTTCAGGGCTCCACCATCGTCGCCTCCACCTCCAACAGTGCCACCATTGTCACCGCCACCGCCACAATCGCCACCATCGCCACTGCCGTCGCTGTCGCCGTCGCCGCCACCGCCGCTGACGTCCTCCCCATCACCGACAGAGTTCAGCTCGTTCCTCGTTGTCGCCTCCTTCACTGCCAGCGGGGACATCAGCGACTTCGACGGATCGATGAAAGCAGACATTCTTGAGACGCTTGCCCAGCTGGCTGGGTTCGACTTTGTGCCTCTTGGATCAACTCTCGAAATCATCGCCGGAAGCGTCAACGTGGTCGCCAAGTTTCCCGTGGCAACACGGGAGAGCGCAAGCTCGGCGCAAGGTAATCTGTCCGAGGCCGCGATGAGTACTCTTCTTGCAGATGGCATCTACCTTGAAACCACACTCACGATTGAGATTCAGGACGGCCGCGTGCAAGGTGCAAGCAATGGCTCAGACAGCTCGAGTGAGTGCTGTTGTGGTAGCAGCGGCCGCAGCGGGAGTCGTCGTCGTAGCAGCAATCATCGGTGGAGCCTATATATTCATCAAGAATAGGAGTCCTAGCAACCCGTCAACCGCCTCGGGCTCAGTTGTCGAGATGGAGGCAACCATGGACGTTGAGGAAGCGAATGCTGTTGCAAACATAAAAGCTATGCAACGCGTCTACTCGCTGCGCATCTAATTGCCCCACAGTACTCTACACTGGGACTGGTGATGCAGCGTTATGCGGACCGCACGGCTCTAAACGGGCGTTCGCGAGTGGTGGCTTCCTGACGGCCTGTGCGCTGTGCGCTCGTCAGCCCGAGACGGCCGAGAGTCTAAATCCGTGAGCACGATCGGGTCCCCAGCTCCTGTCTTCGGTGCCGCGCCAGCTCCCCCTCTAGTCGTTGCGGATCCGGATGGTCCTCGTGCTTCGCTGCTGGCTGCTCCTTGACGAGGGCCGCGTAGTTCCGTACGGCTGGGTCCTGGATAGATAGAGCTGTCGTGTGGAGGGAGGACACGCTCGAGAGAGTGCTCTTGGTATCTAGTGATTCTCGAGTCAGTGTCTAGAGTGGTGTAGAGAGTACTTGTGCGTAATTAAGCTTTTATGGCCCTTTCCCTTAATTGTGCGTAATTATGAGCGGCATCACGCTGCTGATGGCCGCCGCCATCCAAGGCCACCAGCGGGTGGTCGAGCTGCTGCTGCAGCGAGGCGCAGAGATTGTATCACCGCAGAGCAGCAAGGGCTTCCACTGTGTGGAACGCGCTTGCGGATGCGCGCCCCAAAATGTCCGCCCAAAAGGCCTCGTTCTCGCCCCTTTCCTGTACGCGTGGGTCTCAGAGGACGAATGCGCACCGGACCTTCGAGGACATCAAAGTCGGCTGCGCCCTACGGCCATCCAGCCGGCTCTCGAGTGTCGCAGCGCGACGCGCTTCACCCCTCGACTCCGCGCTGCGAGTCGATCTGGAGACGACGCTCGGCCACCGCCAACTCCACCCTGACGCGTCGCACATGCGCCGAGTGTCCCCCCCGAGGGTGTCCTTGTATAGTATGCTTGGTTGCGAGTTAAAAAAAGCCCGTTCCGCACCCGCACCCAGCACCAGTACACATGCCGTTCTGGTGCCCCTCGGCTGGCCAGAGGACGACTCACAATGCAAAATCGGAAAGACGTCACGAGGGGCCGTATAAACGGTACCGCAGCGGCCCGGGACACTAACAGTGAATTGCTGCCACTCGCCCGGCCTCCTCCCCCTCGGGGTCGCCCGGAAAGTGGGCTTGCGCACCGGCGCCCCCCCCAGCACGCCGACCCGAGGTGTACCCTCCGGCCACCTGGGAGGGGAGCGTTCTCCCTTTTTGGCCCATTGGCTTCATCATGATGGATACGGAGGTGGCCAGCCCTTGGTTGTGCACCTGCGGCGCGAAGAGGAGGTGATCTCGGCGGACGACGGCCGTGCCAAGAGCGGGTGCAGCGCGGAAGAGGGTGCGCAGCGCGTCGCGGCCGCGCGCTTGGGAGCCGGGGGGATGGCCAGAGGGGGTGGGACGCCTGCATGTCCTCGAAGCTCCCACCCGCATACGCAAGCCGAGCCGCGAACGGCGGGGAGGGAGTTTTGGAGGGTCAGCCAAGGACGCGCATGGCGAGTGACAAATAGAGGCGACTTCGCTCTACACCGGTTTGCCATCGTGTCACTGCTGATAGCCGCCGCCGACAACGGCCACGAGCGGGTCCTCGAGCTGCTGCTCCGGCGCGGCGCGGAGGTCGACCTGCAGGACAGCAACGGCGGCACCGCGCTGATGTGCGGTGACCGGCACCGGGAGGGTGGGTGCTCTCCGCGGACTCCGGCGGTCTGCGTATCTGGTCTTGGTTGGTTGCTGCATGCTGCGGGGGGTCGTCTCGCCGCACGCAGCGCGCACTCCGCCGGCGGGAGCGGGTAAAGCCGTACGAGCGAGCGCAGGTGCACCAGCCAAGCACAGACTGCATATCAACCCCGTAGAAACTAACACATGCGATCGTAGGTAAATACTCCAGACGGCGTTCACTTTCACGGCGAGTACGTCAGCCGGTGTTTGTCATAACTGTGGTGACGGGTGGCCCCCGCCGGGCCGCCGCCGAGCTCCGCGCCCTGCGCGGCTCTCCCAGCTGGGCTCTCCCCCTCCCCTCTGGCTCTCCTGCCGTCCTGGCGTCCCGAGCGGCCCCGGCCGGCTGCCAGAGCTAGCGCCCGCGTCGGCGGCATCCGCTCACAGCAGACTCAGCCTCTCGCCGCTGCCGCCGCTGCCGCGGCCGCCGCAGCTGCTGCTGCTGCTGCGGCGGCGGCGCGGTCTGACGGCGCGGCGGCGGGCACAGCGGCGCGCACGTTGCGCAGCTCGAGCTTGCTCGCGGGGATGAGATCGAAGAGGTTGTCGTCGGCCGGCAGGGCGGGGGGCGGGTCCGCGTCGACGAGGGGCAGCACCTACCCTCGGTGCCATCTCGTGAGATCTGGTGCGATCTAGTGCGATCTCGTGAGATCTGGTGCGATCTGGTGCGATCTGGTGCGATCAGGTGCGATCAGGTGCGATCTGGTGCGATCTGGTGCGATCTGGTGCGATCAGGTGCGATCTGGTGCGATCAGGTGCGATCTGGTGCGATCTGGTGCGATCTGGAGAGATCTGGTGCGATCTGGTGCGATCTGGTGCGATCTGGAGCGATCTCGTGCGATCTGGAGCGATCTCGTGTGATCTCGAGAGATCTCGTGTGATCTCGAGAGATCTCGTGTGATCTGGAGAGATCTCGTGTGATCTCGAGGGATCTCGTGTGATCTCGAGGGATCTCGTGTGATCTCGAGAGATCTCGTGCGATCTCGAGAGATCTCGTGCGAGCCCGTTTGTCGAGACGAGGAGCGAGGTCATCCTATCTCGGCTGCATCTCGGCTGCATCTCGGCTGCATCTCGGCTGCATCTCGGCTGCATCTCGGCTGCATCTCGGCTGCATCTCGGCTGCATCTCGGCTGCATCTCGGCTGCATCTCGGCTGCATCTCGGCTGCATCGCCTCGGCGAGGAAGGAGGTCATCATGGCTCGTGCCATCTTCTCGCCGATGCAGCGCTTCGCGCCGTGGCCAAAGGTGACCAGCTCGAACGCCTGCAACGGAAGAGCGGCGGAGAAGGTGGCAGAGGAGGGCGGCGGAGTGCGGCGGCGGGCGGTGGCGCGCCTCGCTCTGCTTGCGCAGCGCGTCGCCGCGCAGGAACCGCATCGGGCAAAAGGAGGCGGGCTCGGCGAAATAGGCGCCGTCCTGGTGCACGGCGTTCGGGTAGAGCCAGAGCACCGAGCCTCGCGGGATGGTCACCTCGCCAAACCGCACGTCGCGCGCCGCCTTGCGCAGCACCGTGTTGCCGGGCAGCATCGTGTGCAGCCGCACGGACTCGTCGATGCACGCGTTGAGGAAGGGGAGGCTGCTCAGCTCGGCGTAGCTCGGCTCGCCCGAGCAGGCGGCCAGCTCGGCGCGCGCACGCCGCAGCAGCTCGGGCTGCGAATACAGGTGCGCGAGGATCCACGCAAGCGAGACCTGCGCGAGGGAGGTTCCTAGAAGGTTCCTAGAAGGTTCCTAGAAGGTTCCTAGAAGAGACCTGCCACGCGTGGGAGGTTCCTAGAAGGTTCCTAGAAGGTTCCTAGAAGGTTCCTAGAAGAGACCTGCGTGTGGGAGGCCGCATACGGTGGAATGAATGCGGGATGGCGAATGATTGGTGAGAGAGCTGCGTGTCGGAGCCCGCCGGCATGAGATCATCGTACGGACACTACGAGCAAGCAAGAGTCGACCTGCGTGTTGAAGACCGCCGCCATGAGTGTCATCGTCAGCAGTCCCACCACGTCCTCCTCGCTGCTCTTTTCGAGCGCGCCCGCCTGCAGGTAGATGTGCATCACCGACTGCTCGCCCGCGTAGCGCTGCGGGTGCGCCTGCCGCTCCGCGATCTCTTCGCGGAGGCACCTGCCGGAGAGGCCGTTCCTCGGCAGGGAGTTCAAGGACCGAGATCGCGATCTCTTCGCGGAGGCACCTGCCGAGCTCGTCAAAGAAGCCAACGAGCTGGCCGTTTGCAATGTTCTCGACCCACTGGGTGAAGCGGGGGAGGAGGTGGGGCGCGTGGGTCTCGCTGAAGCGGCGGCCGTAGAGCAGCTCGAGGTCGGCGCGGAGCACAAACTCCGACAGCTCGAAGAAGACGAGCAGCGGCCGCGACGGCGCCGGCCGGCGCATCCACCGCTCGCGCACGCCGCGGGCGGTGGTGCGGAAGGAGGGGAGGAGGGAGTCGATGACGGCGCCGCTCTGGAAGAGGGTGGCCACCTTCTTCTGCAGCTGCACGTCCTCCTCCTTTGGGATCCGTGCCGACACGGGAAGCACGTTGATGAGCTCCTGCAGGATCTGCTGCAGGCTGGCGTCCAGGTCGGACAGGACGGCGCGGTTGGCCGCCTTGCCCATCAGAAAGTAGATGGGCGGCAGCACGGGCCACAGGTCGACCTTGAGCACGTCGCCGTACTCTTCCCGCATCTGCACCGTGAACTCGTGCCAGCTGTCGCACTGCAGCACGCCGCGCAAAATCGACCACGGCGACGGCGTTCCCGCCGCCGCCGACGCTGAGGCTGCTGCAGCCTGCTGCGGCGGCGGCGCCCCGGACGGCGCAACGGCGGAAGCCGCGGCGCTCGAGGCGGCGCCGGTCGAGGCGACGCACGCACCGCCGCCGCCAGCGCCAGCACGGGTGTCGGCCGCCGCTCCCGTCGCCGCCGTCTCGGCAGCGGCGTCGCCGGTACCCAGCCGCAGCAGCGGAGGCGGCCGCAGCGGCGGAGGCGGCCGCAGTAGAGGCGGCGGCCTTAGAGCCGGCTGCAGCGACACAGCGAGGCCGAGGAGAGGCAGCATCGCTGCGACGGGGCGCGCAATTGCCTCAGAGACGGTGCCTCTTCCGAGGTGCCAATAGATGAGTTGGCGAACGAGAAACTCTGAGTCTCACTGGCGCGGAGCCGCCTAAGCGACTCCGTTAAGAACGGCAATGGTATGCACTTAATAGCTCCGTGCACAATGCCGCTCTCCCCGCACGCTAGCTCGTTCACCGTCTGCCACGCCACGGCGGTGTGGAGAATTTTACAACCAAAGGCGGTCGCACGACACGATTCACGCGACAGGCGAGGCGCGGGCGACAGCTTCCTCAGAAGCCGTCGCCTGCACCACAGGAGCAGTTGGCGAAAGAATTTTACAACCAACTCCCCGCGCAACACTGGGCGCGGGACTGGCTCGCACTGGCGAAAGAAATTCTGCGCACTACTCAAGCGTCTGCGCAAGTGAGTGTAGAGTGTGGTGTGGGGCGTGCAGTGTGGTGTTCATTAGCTCCGAGTAGAGGGGGCGTCCTGCAGTTAAGGGGAAACCCGGTACGCGGGGCTAACCTTCGGAGACCCGTGTTTATTTTACGGCCCTTTCCCTGCGAACGCGCACCCCCCCCTAGGGGTCAGGGCTCTCTAGCCCGTAGCCCGATCCCGATCATCCGGCCCGCTGGGCGCGCTTCTTAGCTCCCCGGCCCTGGATGTGAGGCTGATAACTGCACTCCAAGTGCTCCAAGTGCGGACGTTACTCTGGGGGGAGGCGAGGGCCCTAGGGGGTACCCATGCGGGGGGGAGATGGGGTCCCCCAGCCCGCCGCAGGCGCCGATTTTTTGGCATTTTTTCTTTTTTCGTGATCATTCGGGAAGTCGGTGCTAGCTGAGACTAGCGGAGCCGGGGCCCCGTTTCCGCACTGCTGCGCGGCGCACGGTGCCTCCGGGGGCCCCCGCCTCCCCCCAGAGGGACGTTAGTGTTGTGTGTCCTCTGTCGTTCTCCCAAAAAAATAGAAAGAAAACGGACAACCCAAGGGAGGGATGGGAGGACGGCACGCCGCCACCACACAGGGATTTTAAGGAGAGGGGTGTTCTCCCATCCCTCCCTTGGGTTGTCCGTTTTCTTTCTTTTTTTTGGCTAGACAGAGGAAGAAGCGACATCCGACAAGAGAGAGAACGACGAGAGTGGGAAGACCGCGAGGTGGCATGAAGGTTGCAGCGAGGATCGGCGAGGGACTGACTGCGAAGAGAGATAGCAGATAGGAAGAGGCAGACGCCCAAGGGTGGGCGACGGCTCGAGGCGACGGCTAGAGTAGCGCACCACACCCCTCTCCTTAAAATCCCTGTGTGGTGGCGGCGTGCCGTCCTCCCATCCCTCCCTTGGGCTGTCTGATTTCTTTCGTGCTAGTCCTGTCACAGTCTTTTCCGGGTCGTACGGGTGGAAGATTGCACTTCCTCTCTCTGAATCACACGGGTGGCTGCGCAAAGAGAGTTTTGCGGCTACACCCTGGTCGCTTGCTCCCGCCGGGTTTTGCGAGCCCGGGCGGGAAACGCTGAAAAGTAGGCTAGGATATGCCCCCATTCCACATTCGGCATCGGCAGGGCCAGTGGAGGGGCGGGGTACTTGGCGCGCAGCCGGACGCAACGCAGGTCTTCGCCCAGACGATGGCAGCATGCCCCCCCCCCCCCCCCCCCAAATCCCCCAATATCCAAATTTGTAAAAGAAAAGCTCGCGACCTGTGGCCTTGGCTTATGCCAATTTTTCGCGCCATCTTCCACAGCTTCCGAGGCCTTAATGAACAGATCCCCGGGGTGCCCTATGGGACTTTCACTCGCTTTCGCTGGTGTGGGGGGGCCCT